CAACCATATGTTGCACGTTGAAAATTATACACACAAAAATCTTTATTTACTCTTTATTTTATAAAGCATAATCAAAGTAGCCAAAGTGAAACACTTAAAATATAGCACAAAAGTATAATAGGGACGTCCCCAGTCTTCCCTTTTACTTTGGTTATTGTCTTCATTTTGCATAATGTATTTGCAGAGGTGTAGCCCCAACACAGCTCTGCTACTGCTACAGCAACATTTCAGCTCTAAGTGACTCAGCGGCTTGTGGAACAACTATCAGGTCTTTCGGTGGCACACCTATATTACACCTAATTGACTTACAGTAATTTTGTGTGTGTGTGTGTGTGTATGCAGTATTTAGGTTCATAGGGCCCCTGGGAAGGATGGAGGATCCTAAATTGCTTAGACTGTACGGTTTCAGTGTCTTCCGCAGATAGAATTGCTTAGACTAGGCCAAACAAACTGAAAGAACAAACGGGCCCCACTTAATGTCCAAAAAGAGCAATGTCTCTGTCAAGAGGATGAGAGGCAATGCATACAGTTGACTCACAGTGCAGCAGCAAGGATAACAATATCTGACTTGTCTGAGAGGTTTTTAATGTAGAAGACAAGCTAGAGAGCTGCTTAGAGGCAAAATAAAACAAATTAATTAGTGTAATTGTACATCACAGCGAGAGATTGTGTGTGAGCGAGCAGCAGTCGAGTGGGAGGAAAAGTTAGGGACAAAGAGTGTGCTGTTCACAGAATCCAGACCACTGAGTCTTCAGCCTGTTCATGCCCATCTGCCATGTCTCCTCACTCACACTCATCCCTCTCTCTCTCTCTCTGTCTCTCTCCCAAGTCATGCAGGGGCTACATTAATTTTATATCACACAGAAATAATTCAAAAATGTCTAACTTTGGAAACTACACTGAACAAAACTATAAACGCAACGTGCAACAATTTCAAAGATTTTACTGAGTTACAGTTCATATAAGGAAAACAGTCAATTTAAATAAATAAATGAGGCCCTAATCTATGGATTTCACATGACTGGGAATACAGATGTGCATCTGTTGGTCACAGATATATATACAAAAAAAGTAGGGGTGTGGATCAGAAAACCAGTCCGTATCTGGTGTGACCACCATTTGCCTCATGCAGAGTGACACATGGCCTTCACATAGAGTTGATCAGGCTGTTGATTGTGTCCTGTGGAATGTTGTTCCACTCTTCAATGGCTGTGCGAAATTGCTGGATATTGGCGGGAACTGGAACACGCTGTTGTACACTTCGATCGAGAGCATCCCAAACATGCTCAATGGGTGACATGTCTGGTGAGTATGCAGGCCATGGAAGAACTGGGACATTTTCAGCATTTTCAGCTTCCAGGAATTGTGCACAGATATGGTATTGTGCATTATAATGCTGAAACATGAGGTGATGACAGCGGATGAATGGCACGACAATGGGCTTCAGGACCTTGTCACGGTATCTATGTGCATTCAAATTGCCATCGATAAAATGCAATTGTGTTTGTTGTCCGTAGCTTTTGCCTGTCCATACCATAACCCCACCGCCACCATGGGGCACTCTGTTCACAACGTTGACATCAGCAAACCGCTCGCCCACATGACTCCATACACGCTGTCTGCGATCTGTTGAAACTGGGATTCATCTGTGAAGAGCACACTTCTCCAGCGTGCCAGTGGCCAACGACGGTGAGCATTTGCCCACTGAAGTTGGTTACGACGCTGAACTGCAGTCAGGTCAAGACCCTGGTGAGGAGGACGAGCATGCAGATGAGCTTCCCTGAGATAGTTTGTGCAGAAATTCTTGGGTTGGGCAAACCCACAGTTTCATCAGCTTACCGGGTGGCTGGTCTCAGACAATCCCGCAGGTGAAGAAACCGGATGTGGAGGTCCTGGGCTGGCGTCGTTACACGTACCAATAGTATTTCAACAATCATGGCTAGCTATATAGAGTATTTATCAGTGGAGGCTCCTCGGAGGAGGAAGGGGAGGACCATCCTTCTCAGTGAATTTTATACAAATAAAAATTGTGAAACATTGAAAAAGTTATCCTTTTTAGATAAAACTATACAAAATGTCACCAAATAATTGATTAAAACACCCTGTTTTGCAATGAAGGTCTACAGTAGCCTCAACAGCACTCTGTAGGGTAACACAATGGTGTAGCCAGAGGACAGCTAGCTTCCGTCCGCTTCCGTCCTTCTCTTGGTACATTGACTTCAATACTAAATTAGGAGGCTCTTGGTTCTCACCCCTTTCCATAGACTTACACAGTAATTATGACAACTTCCGGAGGACGTCCTCCAACCTATCAGAGCTCTTGCAGCATGAACTGACATGTTGTCCACCCAATGAAAGGATCAGAGAATGAATCTAGCTCTGAAAGCATAAGCTAGAGCTAGCTAGCTATCACTGCAGTGCATAAAATGTGGTGAGTAGTTGACTCAAAGAGAGAAAAAGACAATAGTTGAACAGTTTTCAACAAAATAATTTCTTCAAAAATGAAGCAGGAGAAGCAAGAGAGAAAGAGAGATTTCATCATTTTTTTACACTTTCAGTTTCACTTACTTAGCTAGCAAATGCTGCTGGCTAGTTTAGTTACTCAAATACCCTGCTCAAACAGAGGGATGCTATGTTAGCTAGCTGGCAATGACTATCCAACAGAACACTGGAACTCTTCCAAGTCAAGGTAAGGTTTTGGTTTTATTAATTTATTGCCACTGGGGCCCACCGGTCTAACTGCTTACTGACTATACACTGTAACGTTACTGCATGATTGTAGCGGGTTTACTAACGCATTAGTTCTATTAGCTATGTTGACTAGGACGTTACTTTAGCTAATATGGGGACAACGATGTAGGCTGTGTATAGCGGTTATGACATGGTTTGGCTTGGAAAGTGAACTGTGTTTATGCGTAATCAGGGGTGTATTCATTCCGCCGATTCTGTTGAAAAACGTTTCTTAAACGGAATACCTGAATTTGTCCAATAGAAACTCTTGTTTGCAACTGTTGGACTAATGATTACACCCTAGATAAGCTAGATGCAGGCAAGAGTGTGCAAGGCAGTATTGAATGTGTCACTGTCTGTCCATGTGTCACTGTCTGTCATCTCACATGTTTGTCTCGACCTGTGTGCACCTACGTTGTAAACTTTCATTCATAGGCTAGGTTGTAGCAACCTCATGATGGGTATAGGGGGAATTTGAGTATCATATAGTAGCCTAAACCCATCGATGTTACATTGAACTGGGTGAATGGAATATGAATGACAGTCTTCCAACATGCTGTAATGGAAATAAGGCCATGCTCATGAAAAAAAAATGGTCCTCCCTCATCATAAACGGCACTGACCGCCACTGGTATCTATGTTAGCCCTTTCCCCATATACCCTTCTGTCAACAAGGGCTGAAGTCTGATGTTTTATGAGTCAGTACACATACTGGTGGATCCTCTCTCTGTGTCTGTCTCAGCCTCCTGCACTCAGAGGCTACTACTGGAATCATAATCAGATTTGCCTTGTCATAGACCCGTAGTCCAGAGGCCAGGCATACTGTAGGAGAAGAAAATCAGGCCAGGACACAGTTATGACTCTGTTATGACTCAGTGTGTGTGTGTGTTTGCTTAGAAGATGGGTGTATATAGGCTACCTTAGACAGTGGCACAGATTCTGAATATCAACCCTCATAACTCTCCCTCTCAGTCTCTCTTGCCCTTTCCCCTTATCTTAGCATAATATTGTCATCTGCATACACACACACTCTCACCTATAACACTGCATAAATACACACATACATTAAGCAGTACTGTAATTACCAGTGTCTACATTATATATAAATGACAAGAGTACATGTGTTATTTGTGTGTGTGTGTCAGTGTGTACATAAGTGCCGGTGTCACTGAGTGGGTCGCTGATTGCTCGGCTCCTAGTGAGCATCAGCATGGCAACCGCAGTAGCAGAGCAGTGTGAAGTGAAAAGCAGCTCGCGACTGTGTGTGTGTGAGAGAGAGGGTTTCATGTTGACGGAGCGAGACAAAGGAGAAGAGCAGATGAGAGAAAGAATGAGAAGGAATAATAAGAGGATACATAATATAGAAGGTTATTGGACTGATGAATATGTTTGCTTCATCATTAGTAAGTTCACAAAATTAGTATTTCGCTTTCCAAAGAGCTGTATCTTATGAGTCAAGTGTGAGTCAATGAGCATGGTTTAATCAGTGATTATGCTAACTGTGTGTGTGCATAGTGTATTGCATTTCCTCTTCCTGACTATCTGCACCAAGAGTTAATTATGTCATACTGAGCATGCTCCCTGTGCTCTTTTGCACTGCTAACTTCCTGTTCTCTTCTTCCTCCTCACAGACGGTTGATTGAGAGTGTGAGAGACACACAGAAGAGAAGAGGAGAAGAAAAAGAGAGATAAAAGGACTACAGAAGAAAATCTGGCCGGAGCAACCACCAAGAAGGATTTAAGAAATGTTGAATAACCTCCAAGAAGTTGTTCTATAAAAATGTTTCCTCCTCGTTTGAATTGAGACATTTACTGAGAAGTGACGTTGACGTTTCCTGTTGTAGTCATTCTCCTCTTTGTCGTTTACAGTAACAGTTTACTGTCAGTTTGGACCCCATGTCTGTTTGGACGAAAGTACACCTGTTACTTTTCTCACATTCTTGATTTGGAGCAACTGAGTGTGAGAGGTGTGAACGCCAGTGGGAGGGAAGGGGAATTTTGGCTATTTGTTTCTTTCACTTTTATCTTCTCGCTTATTGTTCCATTTGTGGGTTCCATTGTTTCTTGGAAGAGGAAGGGAAAAGGGTTTCCAACTGGGTATCAGTGACATTCCGTTCTGGTTTCACCCAAGGACAAGTACCCTCTTGTGTGTGCTCGTGTGTGTGAGTGTGAATTGGAGTGTGTTTGTGTTATTGTGTGTGAGGAAAGCGTCCTCACAGTGAGTAAGAGCGGAAAAGGAAAGAAGCAACTGTGTGTCACTTTCTGGGAAAATGGGATCGGAAAAGGACTCGGAATCCCCCAACTCCTCGGTGAGCGGCATTACCAACCCGAAATGCCGGGCACCGGGAAAACGGCAAGGACGCATCTCCTTCCACAGCCTCTTCCACAGCAAACGAGGTTCCCGGAGCGCCAATGCAGGGGCGGCCACACCTTTATCCCAGCTCCACAACCAACACCATCAACAACAGCAACTCACCCCCCTTGTCCTCCCTGTAGTCCCTTCCACCCCCACACCTAACCCAGCCCCCACCACCACCGCCATGGACGCCCCCCAGGACCCAGCCACCTCCCCCACCTCCACCCCAGCAGAGCCCCTCTCTTCCAGTCGGATCTCCCTGGGTCCGCCCCAGTCCTCCAGCTCCACCACCTCCAGCGCCTCTCCTCCAGCCGACTTCCTGGAGTGCCCCCTGTGCCTGGTGCACCAGCCTCCCAAACAGCTCCCCGAGCTGCTGGGCTGCAGCCACCGCTCCTGCCTGTGCTGCCTGCGCCAGTACCTGCGCATCGAGATCACCGAGAGCCGCGTCCACCTCAGCTGCCCCGAGTGCTCGGAGCGACTGGCTCCTCATCAGGTGGCAGACATTTTGGATGACGCAGCGCTGCTGGAGAAGTATGAGGAATTCCTGCTGCGACGCTGCCTGGCCTCTGACCCGGACTGCCGCTGGTGTCCCGCGCCCGACTGCGGGTAAGAATCAACTCTGATTGTTGCCTGGTCTTTAACCTTAATCTTAACCTGAGTGTGAACCTGAACCTTAACCCAAACTCTATAGAGTCATCACTGTCTAGCCATGGTAAAAGGGGCAGAAGTACCTTAAAGCGCTTTCTGACCACAAATGTGATTTTAACCCCTAACCCTGAACGTAACCCTCACCTTTACCAAACCCCTACTGTTAACCGTAGCCGTAACCTTTTTTTTTAGCAGATTCATGCTTTCAAAGTTCAGTTATATCCGAAGTCTGAGGATGATTGTCGTAAACTGGAATGACCTACAGTATTATAACAAGCTTTAGAGGTGACAAAAGTGAGGGTGAGAGGAAAGGTTTATAGCCTAGAATTCTCTAAGTAGGTTAGTATGTTACAGACTAGGGGAATGACAATGCTCGGAGGCTGATTGTGAAATGGGGAAATTTCTGATAAACTGGAATGAGCCTATTGTGTGTGTGCCACACGCAAGTGTTTATGTGTGTGTGTATGTTTGTGTGTATGTGACACGCGCATGCATGTGTATGTGGGAGGGAAAGCACAGATTATCTGTGCTGGTTATATTCAAAGGAAACATGTCTGTTTGGTAATGTCAATCCTGTCAGACAGAGGGGAAGGACCAAGACAGTGGGCTGGACTATAGATGACCTACATTCTAAAGAGACCAGAATGACTCACTACACTACCATTCCTTCCCTGCAGCCCTTGGAAGGGTCTAGTGTGGTTTGGGCTAACTAGAGTGAAGGTTTTCAAAGGGGTACAGTGTGTGTGTGTGTGTGTGTGTGTGTGTGTCATCATTGACCTACTTGAAGAGTGCAGATTCCATACACTTGAGATTGTGTATGTCATAATGGTACTGCATTGTCGTAGATAAGGAATATGGGGCCTTGGTCATAGTAAAGTGGCCTGGATTGTCTCTGGCTGTGGAGTCTCTGAGACCTCTTTGTCTCAATCGCTCTCTCTCTTTCTTTATTTGTCTTTCACTTTCTTTCTCTTTTTTAAAATCTGTTTGTCACACAAACCACAGACTCCTTAACTCTTTCTCACTTGAATGATCACACACAAACACACGCACGCACACACCAGGGTTTGGCTCAATTCAGAATTTTGGAATAAGTCAAGGGGTATGAATACTTTCTGAAGGCACTGTAGAATAGACGAGGCATTTTAATTTCATTGAATTTCACTGACTGTAATTATATTTCCTTTCTTTCAAATTCGAATTGGAGTTCTGTATCCTGTTTACTACTTCAATTCAAATTCAATAATTTTAGTGGAATTTATGAGGCATTCTCAATTCTGAATTGAGCCCAACCCTGACATACACACCCACACACACACACACACACACACACATCTCAATCTATTATTCTTGTGAAGGCCTCCTTCAACTAAGCTTCATTGTCCTTTAGTCTCATCGATCAGTTCCCTCTCCATTCCCCAATCAGACCTCACTGATTGACATGGGGAGACAACCAATCAGAGCAGCGATAGGTCCACGGTCGCTCTGCAGGCTGTCAGTTGCTATGGTGACTAGTGATGCGGCATAGAGGTAGCCAATGTTGCCAGGGGTAACAGAGAGGTTGGGATTTATTTAAAGTGATCATTACACACTCACTGGACTGAGTGTGTGTGTACAGAGTCACAGACAGTGGATTACATTTGTACTGTAATAATAGCTTAGTTGAAAACAAAGCAGTGTCTCACCATTTAAAGCAATGAAAGCTTGCACTATTCTTAGATGTGGCTGTCAGAGTGCATTTGCTCCGAATGTGCAGCTTGTCAGCATTGGACTCCTCAGATTCTCACCGCTCAAAGCCATAATGTCAGTAATGCTCGTGCTCCACCGCAGCAGAACCGACCAGTCGAATCAAATCACATTTTATTGGTCACATACACATATTTAGCAGATGTAATCGCGGGTGTAGCGAAATGCAGCGTTGACTTGGAATGTTCCTACAGGGAAAAGGCTTCCTTGGCATCTTGTGTCTCTGCTCTGTTGCAACAAGTCACTGAGCTCAGGCTTGAAGACATGTTGCCAGTTTGAACAAGCAATGTAATTGGGAAAGAAACCAGCACAAACTGGATTTAATGGGCAGCTAAGAACTGTGTTAAAGGGGAAAAACCATAGCGGTGTAAATATTTCCCCTAGTTTGAGGTTTTGAAAGAGACAGAGTAGGGTTTCAACAGTTTTGGTATTTGACATCTGGTTTCTCTGTGTAGTGGAATGCTGAAGGACTTTAAGAGAGTGGTGGTCAATAAGATTGAGTGCTCAGCTTGAATACCAGTAGACCTACATTCAAAATAGTTGTGTGACAGGTCGTATGTCATTTTTAGCGTTGTTTTTTGATGAGAAAGAGAGATTAACTTTCAAATTAAATTCAGTTTTGCTCAGTCTCAGTATTTGAACACTGTCACTCACAAATAGTTTTACATTTAAGCAATAAAGCCCAAGGTGATGTGATATATGACCAATATACCACGGCTTTCAGCCAATCAGCATTCAGGGCTCAAACCACACAGTTTATAATAGATTAAATACCATTTCATCTTTACATACAGTACATAATGATCTTGTTACATCCAAGATAAGATAAGAACCATGCCTCCCCTCTTATGGTATTGTGACAGCCTATTTACTGTATTGAGAAATGTTTGTGTATGGCGTCGTGTAGCTCTACAATGATGATAATATGCTATGAAGTTTAGCTCTTGGTCTTTCTCCCCTCATGTCCTTCATTGAGGTTACTCCAGACTGCCTGAAATCATCTTTTGCCTATTTCCCTCTCTCTCCACGGCTCAGTAATTGTAAACATTTGTCCAGCTACAGTGTATGTAAATTGAACCTTAACCGCTTGATAGTTTCTTTAACTCCCAATTTCCTCCAAGGCTGTAGTGTTCCCTCCACTGACTCAGTAACTCTCTCTCTCCCCCTCCCTCTCTCTCTCTCTTTCAGTGCAGTGATGTCTTCTTCACTTTGCCATTGATTTCGCATTAGCCGAATTGTGCCTAATAAAGATTTTCTGAAAATCAAACATCTCCCTCTTTTTCCCTCTGCCAGGTTTGCAGTGATTGCTTCGGGCTGTGCCAGCTGCCCCAGGCTGGTGTGTTGTAGAGAGGGCTGCTTGGCTGAGTTCTGTTACCACTGCAAGCAGGCGTGGCACCCCAACCAGACATGTGACTCGGCCCGCCAGCAGAGGGCACTCTCCCTGCACTTGCACAGCAACCACTCACCCAGCTACACACAGGAGCACGGGCCTGGTACTTTGATTACTCTTCATAATGTTATTATTATGACTTTATATTAGTCTCCCTCTTCTCATAAAGCAATTTTCAGACCTCCTTTCAGGTTCCAAATGTCTCGAAGGACATAACAATAAGTCGGTATAAGTTCGACCTTATCACAACCTCATTTGTCTCAGCCTGTCTCTTTTATACTAGCTGTTGGCAGTCAAAAATAACTCTATCGGCACACAATGTCTCCAAACCAATCCTCCTCTGTCTCTGGTAAAAGTAGAAGTCCCTTTTAGGCACAGATCTAGAATCAGCTTACCCTCCCCATATTCTAACGGCAAACCATAAAACTGACCTCAGATCCTACTCCCACTAATCAACTTACCCACTCTCTCTCTTGTCTCTAGCTGATGACATCAAGCCCTGCCCACGATGTGGCGCCTACATAATCAAGATGAACGATGGCAGCTGTAACCACATGACCTGTGCTGTGTGTGGCTGTGAGTTCTGCTGGCTCTGCATGAAGGAGATCTCTGACCTGCACTACCTCAGGTAACTCTCAAGATTATTGCAGTTCACGTCAACACAAATGTATGTAATGGAGTAGTAGATTACTTTCCATGTGCCAAAACTACGTATAGGGCTACCCACCCTTAGCGGAGTTGCCAACAACCGGATGCATCTGGTTTTCAGGGATACAGATAATTCAACTTAGCGTCCTTTCCCGCTGAAAACCGAATGTGGGAACTCCGCTCAGCTGTTTTCTTTTACGCCTGCTACGCTAGGTTAAGGCCTACATGATGACATCCACCCAATTTTAAAGCATGATTGTCATTACTGGGGCTTGACTGATGCTTTAAAAAAATTATTATACACATTTTATGGAATGAATTAAAATCAAACCAAATACTGACGCAAAACATAACTGAATGAAAAGCTTTATTGTTTTGATAAGAAGGCTTCACCAAATATATTCCTACAGTAAAATGCCAAAACATTTCCACAGATTCCGTCTAACACATCTTACATCATATGAGCATACTGTAATAGTGGATAACAGGCAGTGATGTGTGTCTAACTGCTGTGTGACAATAAGCAGAGGGCTCTGAATTCATAATGACAACCTTACCTCACCTCCACTCCTCTGTTGCTGTGGTGTATCCTGATTGTTTTTCCTGAACTTGGGCCCAGAACTAATCAGTCTTCTGTCTACCCCCCCTTGCTCTTCAACCTATTTCTCCCCCTTTCTTTCTATATCTGTTTCCTCTTAATTACTAATTTTTCTTTATTTTTTCTTTCTCTTTCACAATCTTCTCCTCCCCCCTCTCTCTCTCTCTATTTTCTACCCATTCCATTTTTCCCATTTTTCCTACGTTCTCTTTCCCTTTGTCTCCCGCTATATCCCTCCATCAATCTCTCTTCTTTTTCTCAGTCCATCAGGGTGTACGTTCTGGGGAAAGAAGCCATGGACTCGTAAGAAGAAGATCCTGTGGCAGCTGGGCACTCTGATCGGAGCCCCGGTGGGCATTACCCTAATCGCTGGTATCGCTGTGCCTGCCATGGTTATTGGCATTCCCGTCTATGTGGGGCGCAAGGTGGGCAAAAACACTGGCAGATGGCAACCCCTTACTGAAAATCCCCCTTACATTTGGCCTACGCTCAGTCATTTAGCAGACTGGCTTATTTAGAGTGGCTTACTGTCAGAGTGTAGACATTAAAAGGAAAATAAAGAAAATATTTACTTTTCATGATATTTAACAGAAAAGCTATTAATTGTAGAAATTAAATGTGACAGTGCTGGTCTTAGAAATTGAGTTAGTTTCATTATGATTTTCACTTTCATGGTGACACTTTCATTTCCTCTGTGTATTTCAGTAATTGAGAAATACAATTCCTAAAATAGATAAGGTTTCAAACCATAAGAAACTCTTATTTAGTTTAGGTATGATGCTACAACTGTTCTTTGGAAATAACATAATTTAGAAAAAAATGTGTCAAGATAGAATTGCACAATTACCTATTTTGAAGGATATCTCTTTAGCGCATCCTTGTGGTAATACAGTATAACTGCGAGATTCAATTTAAGGTCATTTGAATGCTGTACGAAAGCCCTCCCACACACACTTTATTGTTCCAGGCCCCTAAGCCTTCCCAGCTGTAGAAATACCTTTCAAAGTATTTTGTACTCAGCCAACTCCCTTCCACCCAGTCACAACCAGACATTTCATGCTGTAATAGGCCTAGGTAAAGTCCTCTGATGGTGGTACTAAAATACTAATATAAGCCTGTGAACAAAGAAAGAAATCCCCTTACACGACATATGACCTACTTTTCCCAAGTGCTTTATAATATTAATTGAACCTAAATCACAATACAGACGTTTCAGCTGCAATAGCCTTTATTGCTAGCCTGGTCCCAGATCGGTTTGTGCTGTTTTGCCAACTCCTATGGACAAAACAGCACAACCAGATCTGGGACCAGGCTACATTGTTTGACTGTTGTGAACGTTTAGGATGTGTATTTACTGTATAACTTCACCTTCACTACTATCTATCTTTTATTTTGTGATAGATTCACGCCCATTATGAGGGGAAGAAGACCAATCGCCACAGGAGGAACCTGGCCATCACAGGAGGAGTGGCCGTGTCAATCATCACAGCTCCTGTGATCGCAGCCGTCAGTGTGGGTATTGGCGTGCCCATCATGTTGGCGTACGTCTATGGAGTTGTGCCCATCTCTCTGTGCCGCGGAGGAGGCTGTGGCGTCAGCCGAGGAAAGGGGCGTGGCATGCGGATAGACTTTGACGAGGACGACGGCCCAATCACAGGTGAGCAAGACTTAAAGAGCTATAATTTTTGCCTTAATAAACCTATTACTGTAAAATACAACAATGACACTTACCTACATGTATGTCTCTCTTTTATGTTACAATCATCATTGAACTGCTAATTAATTGAGACAAGAAATATTGAATGGAATCGAATGGAAAAATATCTCCTCATCAAGCATGAAATAAAAATATTAAATAATTGTCCCCCAGTGGCTGATGCGTGGCGGGCCCTCAAGTCCCCCAGACTGGGTGAGAGCAGCCTGGAGGGGGCAGCCAGCGGCCTCAGCACCACCTCCCCCAGCGAGGGCCTCTCTGTGGCCCCCAGGGTCCTGGGGGACACCCCCCACTTCAACACTCTGGCCGGGGGCGCTCTTGGAGCCAGGGCTGGCAAATACAACAGGTATGGAGAGAGTCCCAGCAGGGAACCTGTTCTGTACGTCTTATGGAGGGGAATGTTGTGTATTGTAAGCAGAGAGACAGTATAAATAGGGGCCAAGTAAGCCTTAAACGAACTAACTACAGTTGTTGTTGTCCCTTTGAAAGTTCTGTATTTTGGTTGTATGAGGACTGCTCTTATAACCGCTGCTGTGAATGTTTTTGCTGAGTAAATGTAATGTGGCATATGTTGAACACTGTAATAACTGTTGTTGGTATAACCATGTAATAATAACCATGTTTTGTGTTGTTCCAGGTTGGCGCTCCAGGGAGGGGAGCCGGGGAAGGACGGTGCCCAGAGAGAGACAGGTAGTCTGGGAGCGGGTAGTGACTGTGCCAGCACCCGGGGCATGGCAGGCTCCATTATCTCCTCCTACACACTCCCTGACAGGTGAGTGTCACAATTACACACACACATGATTTTGAGAGAACCTACTCCTCCTCCTTGATTTGACATCTAGTCTGAATCTGTTTCTGTCGGTCTCATGTTGTTGTTGTCTCTGATTGCACTCCATGATTTCCTCGAATCTCTCTTGAGTCTGACTTGTCTTTAGTCTGTGTGGTATGCAGGCAGCACTTAGTGGTTCAGAAATATTTATTTTAGCCATTGATTTAGTTCCCGACAGATGTTTTCAAATCGATTTTGAGTTAAACTTATAATGGTAGGCAAGGTGACACTGGATACAGCAGATGATATGGTGACTAGTGAATCTAAACGTCTTTGTTCTCCTTTGTTCTCCTAGGGACTGTACTAACCTGGAGATCCAGGTGGACATCGAGACCAAACCCAGCCACCTCTGCCTGACCAGTGAGGAAGACCTAAACACGCCCCCTGCTGCTATGGCAGCATGCCCCTGCTCGGGGGGGGAGGAGCCTCAGGACTGCAGCTCCAGAAGGGGCGGGGCTCTGTTTGGCTCAGCACTAGGTCTGTCGCCAGGGGCATCGCTCAGGGAGGGGCTTCGCGATGTCACTCTGGCCCAGCCCGAGAGCATCCGCAGCGACCTGGAGATGTCCGACACCCAATCGGACGACATCGCTGAGCTGACGTCAGACGACTGTGACTCGCCTCATCCCAACAGCTGCCGGCCCCCTCAACCCCAGGCCACCTGCAGACCCCTTCACACCTCCGACAGACTGCACTGTCCCCCGGATAACGTCATCCTCTATGTTTAAGAGTCCGACTGACTGAGAGCTCTCAGAGATTCCACAAACCCCCCCAAAAAATTGTTTTAGCTTTTCTCCATTCATTGATTTAGCTTTTCGGTAATTATTTTGCTGCTTTTTTGTTAACAAAACGTCTTACCTGCAAACAACAACCATCTACATGTGTATGTCTGTCTTTCTATCAACATCTCGATCTCCTTGCAGAGAATTGGCAGGGTTCTACCTCTGAGATTTCTCTGTTTACTTCTTGGTGCAAAAATGCCTTGGCTACTTACGCAACAAAAAAAAGCTCAACAAGAGGTACACATTTGCCACAAGAAATACTGCAAAAAAAGAGGAAAGAAGGTGAAATGTCACCAAGCACACTAATGAGTGAAGGATTGTGGGGAATGGGGTTTGTACTATGGAAGAGGATGTTTTTAGGGATGTTTGAGTGTGGCATTTGTACTGAACTTTGTTGGCTTGATTTCCTCCTGTTCTTTTGTTAGAACTGAATGATATTGAATGATTTTGAAATGGTATTATTTACTGTGTGCATGAGTGTGCGTGAACTGCGTTTTCTATGGCTGTATAGACCTACAAGTGGAATATGTACCTGTTACACTGGTGGAGTTTACAGTAGTTTGTTCAGAGACATGACTTTTGGAGGCGATCTGCACTTGAATCTCACCTGCACAGAGAAGAACAATTTAACAAGAGTCGATGTCGTGGAAGATAGACAAGTAATTAACCAGCAGACAGTTCCTCTTGAATGACTGACTGCCTGCCTTACAGACAGTGATGACACTCACTGACGAACACATTGGCTTTCTGACATGCTAGCTGTCTGACCCACTCAGATTGTGTGTGTTGTGCTATTCAAAGAGTATAAAGACAAAGACATAATATACATTTTCAGTAGAAAACAATAGTAGAATGGATGGACTTCTTGTGATTGTATTTGTTTGTCCCACTATCGAGTGAAGTTATGAATGAGCACTTGTGCACTTTATCTAAATATTCATATTTCTTTTGCTATTCGTTGTCATCAATTACTCTGTGAGTTTTCTTCCATTGCATAACATCATACTTGTAAAATCATAGCCAAATGTTGATTATCAGTAACCTTTTTACAGTGTAACAACATTTTGCAGACCCATTTTTATTTCTTCTAGAATAATTACTAGAGCTTATTTTTGCTGTTTACCAACCATGTGCTTCAGTTTCAGTTGTTTAAGATATTCCCATTTACTATAGACATCATGAAATCTCTATATGGGAATATTGTTTTATTTCAAATAAGCTTTATGGAGTTTGATCATACTATTGGGCAGTGCTTAGTATGGTCTGTTGATGTTATTCAGTTGTCGCTTATTTCTGCCTATGAGAAACAACATGAATGTACCATGGATTGAAACAGAACTTCTTAAATATGAAAAGAGGATTTACCCTTAAGAAAACATATACAGTATTGTATATAAATGTGTAGTATCTCCTGGCACTGCTTTGTAAGACCCTGTATGGGGCCAAACACACAGGACTGTGAAAGAGGTTGTGGACATTCTTTTGGAAAATAAACACATTTTTCTGTTGCACAAATATTGTCTTATTATTATATGTTCTATTATGTTTGAAATATTGGGGTTATTCATGGGGAAAAGGGTATGGAACACACACACACACACACACACACACAGAGAAAATAGCTTTGCATAACATACATAGATGGTCAAAGTCAGTGTTGGGGAGTAGTGAACTACACTGAACAAAAATATAAACGCAACATGTAAAGTGTTGGTTCCATGTTTCATGAGCTGAAATAAAAGATCCCAGAAATCTTCCATAAGCACAAAACGCTTATTTCTCTCAAATGTTGTGCACAAATTTGTTTACATCCCTGTTAGTGATCATTTCTCTTGTGCCAAGATAATCCATCTACCTGACAGGTGTGGCATATCAAGAAGCTGATTAAACAGCATGATCATTACACAGGTGTACCTTGTGCTGGGTACAATAAAAGGCCACTCTAAAATGTGCAGTTTTGTTACACAACACAATGCCACAGATGTCTCAAGTTTTGAGGGAGCATTCAATTGGCATGCTGACTGCAGGAATGTCTACCAAAGCTGTTGAACGAGAATGTAATATTAATTTCTCTACCATAAGCCGCATCCAACTTCGCTTTAGATAATTTGGCAGTACGTCCACCCGGCCTCACAACCGCAGAACACGTGTAACCACGCCAGCCCAGGACCTCCACATCCGGCTTCTTCACCTGCGGGATCGTCTGATACCAGCCACCCAGAGAGCTGTGGGTTTGCACAACCAAAGAATTTGTCAGAAATCGTCAGAAACTGTCTCAGGGAAGCTCATCTGCGTGCTCGTCGTCCTCACCAGGGTCTTGACCTTGACTGCAGTTGGCGTCATAACCGACTTCAGTGGGCAAATGCTCACCTTCGATGGCCACTGGCACGCTGGAGAAGTGTGCTCTTCAAGGATGGATCCCGGTTTCAACTGTCCCGTGTATGGCGTCGTGTGGGCGAGCGGTTTGCTGATGCCAATGTTGTGAACAGAGTGCCCTATGGTGGCGGTGGGGTTATGGTATGGGCAGGCATAAGCTACGGACAATGAACACAATTGCATTTTCTCGATGGCAATTTGAATGCACAGAGATACCGTGATGAGATCCTGAGGCCCATTGTCATGCCAACACCTCATGTTTCAAAATGATGGTGCACAGTCCCATGTCGCAAGGATCTGTACACAATTCCTGGAAGCTGAAAATGTCCCAGTTCTTCCATGGCCTGCATACTCACCAGACATGTCACCCAATGAGCATGTTTGGGATGCTCTGGATCGACGTGTACGACAGCGTGTTCCATTTCCTGCCAATATCCAGCAACTTCGCACAGCCATTGAAGAGGAGTGGGACAACATTCCACAGGCCACAATCAACTCTATGCGAAGGAGATGTCACGCTGCATGAGACAAATGGTGGTCACACCACATACTGACTGGTTTTCTGATCCACGCCCCTACTTTCTTTTAAGGTATCTGTGACCAACAGATGCATATCTGTATTCACAGTCATGTGAAATCCATAGATTAGGGCCTAATGAATGTATTTCAATTGAGTGTAACTCAGTGAAATCTTAGAAATTGTTGCATGTTGCGTTTATATATTTTTTCAGTGTACATGTACAGTGCATTCAGAAAGTATTCATACCCCTTGACCTATTCCACATTTTGTTGTTTTACAGCCTGAATTCAGTGGATACAACAACAAAAAAATATCTCACCCATCTACACACAATACCCCATAATGACAACGTGAAAACATATTTTTAGATATTTTTGCAAATGTATTGAGAATGGAATACAGAAATATCTCATTCACATACACTACCAGTCAAAAGTTTGGACACACCTACTCATTCAAGGGTTTTTCTTTATTTTTCTTTATTTTTTACATTGTAGAATAATAGGAAAGACATCAAAACTATGAAATAACAAATATGGAATCATGTAAAAACCCTTGAATGAGTAGGTGTGTCCAAACTTTTGACTGGTACTGTAAGTATTCACGCCCCTTTGCAATGACACTCCAAATTGAGCTCAGGTGCATCCAATTTCCTTTGATCATCCTTGAGATGTCACTACATCTTCATTGGAGTCCACCTGTGGCCGATTGTTTGGACATGATATAGACAGAAACACACCTGTCTATGTAAGATCCCACAGTTGACAGTGCATGCGGAGCAGAAACTATACCAAGAAGTGCAAGGAACTGTCCGTAGATCTCCGAGATATATCTGGGGAAGGGCTTAAAACAATTTGTATAGTGTTGAAAGTTTCCAATAGCACAGTGGTCTCCATCATTGGGAAATTGAAAAAATATGGGACTACCCAGACTCTGCTTAGAGCTGGCCGTCGGACCAAACTGAGCAACCGGTCAAGAAGGGCTTTGGTCAGGGAGGTGACCAAGAACATAATAACCACTGACAGAACTACAGAGTTCCTTGGTTGAGATGGGAGAACCTGCCAGAAGGACAAGTCTCTACAGCACTTCACCAATCTGGGCTTTATGGGATAGTTGCCAGACAGAAGCCACTCCTGAGAAAAAGGCACATGAGAGCACGCCTGGAGTTTGCAAAAAGGCATGTGAAAGACTCTGATCATAAGGCAAAAGATTATGTGGTCTGATGAGACAAAAAATGTAACTCTTTGGCACAGCTCATCACCCGTCCAACACCATCCCTACCATGAAGCATGGTGGTGGTAGCATCATGCTATGGGAATGCTTTTCAGCGGCAGGGACAGGGACGACTGGTAAGGCTAGAGGGAACAATGAATGGAGCCAAATACAGGCAAATCCTTGATGAGAACCTGCTTTAGAGTGCAAATGACCTAAGACTGCGGCGAAGATTTACGTTCCAACAGGACAATGAGCCCAAGAATACAGCCAAAGCAATGCTGGAATGGCTTCAGAACAACACAGTGAAAGTCCTTGAGTGACCCAGCCAAAGCCCAGACTTGAATCCAACTGAAAATCTGTGGAAAGACTTGAAGATTGCTGTTCCCCACCGCTCCCCATCTAACTTAACAGTGATTGAGAAAATCTGCAAGGATGAATGGGGAAAGAATCCCCAAATCCAGATGTGCCAAGCTGATACAACATACCCAAGATGACTCAAAGCTGTAATCGCCTCCAAAGGTGCTTCTACAAAGTATTGACTCAGGGGTGTGACTACTTATGTACATTTCTATTTGATTTTCAATAAATGTGTTAACATTTCTAAAAATATGTTTTCACTCATTATGGGTATTGTGTGTAGATTGGTGAGAAATCAATTTAATCCACTTTGAATTCGGGTTGTAACACTACATGTGGAATAAGTCAAAGGGTATGAATTAATACTTTCAACTAGTAATTTAACTACGTTTCGCAGTAGCTTTGTGGTAGTGAACTAAATTAAAATGTTCAGTAGTTAATTACTTTTTTTTTTGCCCTGTAGTGGTGTAGCTAACTACTGGAACTATACACTAGTGTTTTTGCTAAAATAAAATGTGTGAAGTAGGCACAATTATTTTTTTCGGCATCAGGCCTGCTAATTCTCACTTAAAAAACTGTTTTGTGTTTAATAAGCTAAATTACACATTTTAACATTGACTCCAGAGTGATCTGTTCTTATAATTTTGTAGTCTAGAACATATTTAGATATAATTTATCACGAAGTAGTCTAGATGTAGTGAACTACTTTTTCAAAGTAAATTGGTAGCTTGTTGGGGTTGCTTCCCGAACATCGTCCAGTTGGCGTTAAGTCCCCTAGGATCTTTACAGTAGTGTCGTAAATATAGGCTGGGTTGCCAAGCGACCATCTGATTTCAGGCTTAGGCTCACTCTACCGTAAAGTAACGAGGACCCACACAGAAGGTTAAAGTGACTTCAACGAAATACGGTAAATAATGACATTTATACCATATTTACATACCTTTTGACAATACAGTAGTTTAACAATTAAACCCTAACATATTTTTGCACAACAATGTGGAGAAAGTTTAGCGAGTCACCACACAGCGCGAGTGGCCTGTTAGTCAGTTAACAGTAGTTAGCTAACAGTCAGTTGGTCCGTTTATCAATACAGTTACGCTAGCTAGCTAGCTAAACAGTTAGCTAGACAGTGAAGTCGAGTGCAATACAAAGCACCCCATGGCTGCTAAATATAGCTAGCTACCAATAGCTAGAACTAACGTTAATAATACTAGCTAGATAATGGGCTTGTATGAATGTCTAATTGCAACGTTGCGTTGGCTAGTTAGCTAACTAGCTAGGGTTGGCAAGCTGTAACGTTAACTAGCATAGACATTTCAGAGTAGCTAACGTTACTAGCTAGCTTGCCCATTCATGTACTGTAATGCTAGCGCCTATGGCTGGTTATGGCCCCTTTTCGAGAGCTAGTAGCTAGGTAATTTTACTGAACATGTTATTGAACCTGAATTCATATTGATGCCACTAGTTGTATGAATAATAATGTACAGCTAGAGGGCTCTCCATACCAATGAAAAATGTCAGAGATTTCATCAACCTCTAAGACATTGGGTGTATCAGTATTCATTAGACGAAGACCGTAGCAAACAGTTGAAAAACGTTTTGCAACGGAAACGGTTTACTCCAAACAGTTTTGCAACTAAAATGAGTTTTTATATTGGACAAATTCTAGTGCGTTCACTCACTACAATGAATGTAGAGAAAAACTGGGAAATTCAAGAGGGTGCTACGAAATGAATGTCACAACGTCGTTTTCTTTGCCCTATGTCATTATAAAGTACATATAATTCATCATTAGATTGTTCTCTACAATATTATAATCTTAATATACTTCTACTTGACAGGGTTGAGGAAAGAAGAACGTTAATTTGCTGCGACCGTTGCTAGTTTAGACTGCGCCGCTCTTGGTTGTGTCTCTTCCATATTTAGTGTTGTGAAGTGGTACCATTTGGAGGTGTTTCCGCTGGTTGGACCAAACAAAATCAACTTGATACCTTAGTTATTTTCACGTCCAGATCCTTGTCTTTCATTGCCTATAACCGGGATCAATCTACGTTGAGGGGCCGTTTCTATGGCAATTTAAAGGGAAAGAGTCAGAAATACACAATGATAACAGGAACAGATTGTCTTCGCGGAGGGTGGATATTGAAATTCAGTATTTTAGCTCTGTAAATAAATATGTTTTGTAAATAAATATTTTTAATCCCTATTTAGTTTTGTATTGAGGCGGATGTAATTTAGAAAAAGCCCATGTTTTCATTCACGAACCTGCAGCCACTAGTTAGCTTGTCAGTTGACGTTCGAAGTTAGCCCAGTTCTGCCGCGGAGCACCGACACAGAGTTATATTGAGCAGTGACCACTTTTTGATCGTGCCTGTGATGACATACCATTCACTCTAAACATGCTAAATTCTCAGAGTAAATAGTCGGTTAACTTTTGAACCATATATGGTAGAGCCCTGGGGTTTGGACTGTTGTTTTTCTGACAGAATGGACATATTTGTATAAACCTTGAATAAATTAATAATTGTATGGGTGAACACCCTACACATTTAGGTATGTCCCTCCCCGTTTTATTCTGTTTGCTTCTGCTTGGTTCCTAACGTTATTATGGCCACAATGACTCTAGGGAAAACACTTGCATTGCCCAAACCATGATGCCACAGAAAGACCCCTTTCTAATCAGAAACCTTCAGCATCACTCTTGCTCTTCTCTCTTCCCCCCTCCTGCAGCATCATGCCGTTCATCGACCTCCAGGGGAAGTTGGGCATCAACATGGACAAATGGATGTTGATCCAGGGTGGAGAGCAGCCATACAAACGGGCGCCCCGCTGTCATGCCTTTGAGAAGGAGTGGATCGAGTGTGCGGATGGCATTGGTCAGACCCGTGCCAAGAAGGAGTGCAAGCTTGAGTTTGAGGACTTCTATGAGTGCATGCACAGAGAGAAAACGGTGAGTGTAGGATATCTGAGCTGAAGATTGTGTGAACTGTGAAGATTGATTGTGTGTGTGTGTGATTTTCATGTCCTTTCCCCATAAACACTTGTGATTTCATCAACCAAGACCTGTTGAAGAGTTGTCAATTGATATCCATGTCTTTGATAAAATAACTGCTTGTCATCCTACATGGGTGTCCATCCTAGGGATGTGACAAATGGAAAATGTTATTGATGTTTAAACGTACATTCTTTATCGGTTTTCCATTAAAACGATAAATGCATAAAATGTCATGTGAATTCACAATGCAGCTGCGCTGCTGTCAGCAACTGTATGGGTCTCATGGTGCGTTCCTTTCAGATGGTTAAGCATTGCACCTGTACTACCGTTACTGTACTTCAATTCCACCTTGCAAAGTTTGCATTTCCTTCTCATTTAACTTGTCAAAGTATTGCCATACGGGACTTTGATGCTGTCGCTTGCCTTTCTCTGCCATTTTTCCAACTGTTAACGACGATGACGTAGTGGTGGAGAGTCGGCTCCAAAATAATTGATTCCTCGACTCCTTGCAGTGTCAATATTCGTAGCGGAATCGGCTCCTAAGATTCAGTATTTTTGGAGGAGACTGATTAGTTGCCGTACTTCCGAGAACACAAATACTTGCATAGTGCTGATTCCATTTAGTCGACTGGTCGATTGTTTGGTCGATAGGCTGTTGGTCGACCGAGATTTCTTTAGTGGAGCAGTAGCAAAAACAATAATAAAAAAATATCATGGTGTACAAAACACCTGTCTGATTCGGGCCTGTCTGAGTGGACTAATCCATTGTGGAGGCCGTGGGGATGGCACAGTCCATCACTCTAAGGCATGTGCGACTGAAGTTGTATATGGTTAAGGACAATGGTGCAACACTAATACATTTGATAGTGGTTGCTGTCCGCGGTTCTGAAACATCAATGCGCTGTTGAATTCGCACCTTTTCCTAGACCATGTTGCTATGTGCGTAATAGCAAAGTTAACCAGCATATTGGTGTTGAGAACAATGCGGTGGCGGCAGCAGCAGAGTTAGGAGACGAGAAAACAGCCCTTGCTTTAATTGTAAAAATAAAAACGTTACAACAGAGTCTCTGGTACGCTTTTAATTTATTTAGTGTTGTTTACGTTGTTCCAAACGGTCAGAAATGTTTTATTGTAATCTATACAGCACCAGTTTGGCACACATAGTATGCATGCAGCGCTTGCTCCTTATCTTATTTTTCTTGATCTCCAGTATTTTCCACAACTAGTCAAATTTATCACAATTCTTGGCTTGCAATGTCTCGCAACTTCAGTAAAGCAGGGCATATCATCAATGAATAGGCTAGCTAGGATATTGAGATGAGCGAGATCCAACACTTCACTTTCACATACAGTCACATAAAGTATCTGCTCATGTGCACGGGTTTGCTTCACGCTGTTCACAGCGTGGTAGACAGGGCACCAAAACAGTGGAGAAGTTGAGCTTCGCGCTTCAACGCTCTTATTGTTGCGGAAATTGACCAACTATGCTGTTTACTTTCTGCATCGACGTAAAAAACCCATAGTTTTTTGGTTAGGGATTTTTCTTAACGTTAAGGATCCCAATTTCGTTGAAACATTTTACAGTTTAAACGTTCACACCCCTAGTCCATCCTATCCAGCTCTACCTGTTGTTTTTTCATTGACTTCATTGATAGTTGGAGGAGGAGGAAGCTTTGGTGTTGATTACCAAATTATGAGCGTCAAGACTATAGGAAATGCTTTTGTTTTGACTGTTTTTGTTGTTAAAAATACATTGAGTTGATTAGTGAAGATAATTGTTGTTTTGATCAGCAATGAGCTAAAAAAACACACCAATACCTCTAAGAAGTTCTGAGCTTGCACCCCCAAAAAAGCTTGACCGCCTCTCTCACAACTGTCTGACGTGGATCGCTCTCTCTGTCTCTGTCTGTAGCACAAGAGGCTGTATGAGATCCGTAAGCAGCGGGACAAGATGGTGAAGGAGGGCACCTACCAGACCCCAGCTCACCACACCGGTGCTCAGGCTGATGACAGGCCTTGACCCCATTTGACCTTGTTGACCACAAGGTGTGTCCCCAACTTGTGTATAAAAATTGTTATTCAGATATCACTTTATTGTTCATGTCTAAACCTTTACAAGTTTGCAAATAAATATTATTGACCATGAACCTTGTATATGACTTTCTCTTTCTCCTTTTTTAGGTACAGTGTAGGGAGAGATGATTGGAAGAAAGGGACAGAAATGTGAAGGTGATTTATGATATGTGCACTCAGGTTTAGGTTTGTTCACTATATTTATGATCTTGGTTTTGAATGTGTTAATACTACTGATTCTATTCAATTATTTGTAATATCATACTAACTACACAATACAAGACAATATTTATTGAGCGTGAATCTGTTCGTTATTTATAACTGAGAAATTACTAAATATTTTACAAATTAGCCTACTTGTTTTGGGACAAAAATAGCTACAGTTGAAGTACAACAGGACTACAGACCATATAACCAGCATAATTAATTTCCTTGAAAAAACTCAACATATGAGACTTCCAGAAATGACAATCAGAAATATCCTAATGATATAGCAACTCCTTATAAACCAGCCCTGCTTGGAAGTGCGGGGTTGATGAAATCTGAAATGCACTCAACTCTAAACCCTGTGACTTAATTCTGGTAAATATCAGAGTTGATGTATTAGTTGAGGAATACTCCCAAGGGACAGCTTCTCCTGATGAAAGCTAAATATGAATGGATGCTCTCTGAAATTCCAATTCAGTTACCAAGTGTTTCACTAGACCTGTTAAGATTACGATATTCTCCTTGTCACCACAAGGTGGCGCCAAGTCATTACTACAAAACCTCCCATCTACCTAATCATGTCAAATTATATTTGAAGTAAATAGGCTTCTGTTACAATGCTTGACAAAAGTTAGGGAGTGTACAGTATGATTGCATCTTGTGTTTAGTGTCAACAAAAATAAAGGGTTTATTACTTGCTGATGTATTATGGAGTGAATTTAGCCTCTAATCACAAGGGTTATTTACAAAAATTAAGAGATACCAGAGATACCAATACTGTCACAATATAGCCTATAAACAGTTTTGATGAAGTGTGTGGAGGGAGGGGCGAGGGCAGGAGCTGTATTTTTCATTAGCGCTAAAAGATTGCCTGATGTCCTGACTCCCGCCAAAGTGTTGCACCGTTACTTTTCTGATTCACTTCAGAGTCTGGTGGTTACATTGTATCTAGGCCGTGGGACAAGGTGAAAAGGCAACAGTATGGTCTAGGCTAGTCATCACAAGGTTTTAATAAAGTGTTTGGTTAAGGGGATTTTGGCCTGTCTGGGTAGCACGGCATTTTCTTTTACAAAACTATAGGCCTATTGTGCTGCTTTATTGCCTTGCAGTTGACCTGATTTATTGTCAATTACAGAAATGGGTCCTTCCCTTATTTTGATGAACAAAGGGGATTTTAAAGGATATTGTTTTATTATGTCAGTAAAGTTAAGCAGTCTAATGTTACCTATTACAGCCCAAACTTATGCTACCTTTTATCTTCTGAAGCAAATCTCCGGTCTAGGTTGCAAAATTGCACTGCTTTTCATTTGGCCAGTCACAGAATTGGCCTTAGCCATTGTTTGATTAAAACATCAGCAGCGAGCCTAGTTAATCCTGAACTGTCTGACAGCATTCCGTCGCGCTCTCCGACTGCTCCGTGGAGGGAGGGATGGTCCTTGTATATCGTGGCCAATGGTTATCCAGAGAGAACCATTCTTGCAAGCTATTCTCCCGGCCGGACAAGCTGGTCTGACCTGTAAGACTGGGAGGGTCCTACAAAACTCAGAAAATATTTAGTTATATAGTTACATAAATACATATTGGAGATGGGGAAGGAGGGGTCAGGAGAAACAGGGATGATAGATCAGAGGATTAAGGATTAATATGATCACATGCAAAGACAAAGCAAGACCTGTTGCAAAAGCAGTAGCTAAACACAGCTATTTCGTGTTTGCTATGCATCCACAAATATGCCAAAAGTAAACGCCCCTTTCTTCGAAAAATTAGCGTGCGTCGTGCCAGTTGGCCGTGCGCGAATTGTGCAGCTGAGCCCCAGATGACGTTGGAAGTTATAACACACCTAAATTCAATTTTCGCGACACTTAACATCTCCAATAGCTATGCATCTCCAATAGCTATGGGTTAAATGTTAAACCCGTGAAATAGCCTACCCATTGATGCGGTCAGTAGAGCGAAAGTGGGCGATAGAGAGCGAGGTGGGGGTTGTAGAGACAGGAAAGAAAGGAGGGATAGGGAAGGAGGGGAATAGATAGCCATTACCTAATCACAGTCGTGGTATTTATCGCTTCCTTGTCCCGGGTCGGTACAAACGGCTGAGTAGCAGCCCTGATCAGACCGTCTGTGTCTAAACGTGCGTCCGAAAGACGGTTGTCGTGAGGAGGGCGACTCGGAAGAGCCACAGCATCCCTGTCTCTGTAACCCTGTAGGATACTCGGACTCGGGGATCGCTATTCTCCGGTAAGGTTTTGGTGTCGTGGAACACACCATGTGTAATCTGAATCATATTGACAGACGTCTGAGATTGTGAAATACATATGATATAACACATGTGTTATGGTTGACTTTCAGTTGCATTTTTATTACCGATGTGGTAAAACTATTCCCTTAGCTGATGTCCAATATCTGTTCTTAATTGCATAGTAAAAAGTTGATCTTTATGTAATTCATAAAATTATTGGTGTAATTCATTTTTAGAATATAAATACAAATGTATAGGGAGTTATTTTTATTTTTGTCAGATAGGCAATAATAAAACGATAGGCCTATCAAAATCGATTTTTATCCATGCTTGCTCCTGGTTTAGATGCTTTGTACTTGAAAATATTAAAATGAGAAGGGGTTGGAAGGGTTTGTAGGTCGAATAGCCTAACAATGTTATTCTACTAATGAGAGAGACACAAAACGCATTTTGTTAACGCCGGCATCACAAATGGATAAATGTTATTAGCCCGTTATGCAGGCAGTGTGGACAAAGAGCTCCAGTATGCTCCTTGCCTTCGCTCCCCACGACATTTCGAAATAGGATCGATCAATGCTCACGCATGCATACCGTTTCAGCTGCTTATTAAAGCCCTTGCCACTATTTTCCTCATAACGCACATCACCTCTTCTACAGAACACACAGTCCTATGTCTATGATCTATTGTAATTTCTATAAATCCATAGCCTTCCGCAAGAGCTGTATATTCAAGCAATTGTGTCATTTATGTTCGATTTCTGAATAGAAGGTGTTCCTGAATACGATAATTGTATTGATCAGCCATTAATTATGGTTAATAATACTGTGGGGACCGTGCACTCATCAAAATACGTCCCTAGAGCGACATCAATTAATGTTCTACAGTCTGTTTTTACAGAAGTCGTCTTATGTTCAGCTTACTTCAAGCTAAAGGCTGTCTGGAAAATATACAAAATCTGTGCTAGAGGTGAAAGCAAGATACATGAGTCCCCTGTCGATTCACACACCAGATGGCCATATGTATTTCCCTGTTGTGAGCAGCCTTGTGTTGATCATAAATCATAAGCTAACATTCGGTCAGTTTGTCAATCTAGCCCACACTAGTCAAGGTAAACAGTCAAGTAGTCATCAATATCCCATTTTAAACCATAGGCATATTTTCTCCTATTCCAGTGTGGTAATTCATACTCGTTGCCAAAGATTATGGCTACTACTCTCACGCCCTTTTCAGCTGCAGTGCCCATAGACACAACCCCTTTTCACATTAAATATTCAAGAATCGGGAACCACAATCATGAAGCAATATGGAATAAAATGTCACTGAGGCTGCACCGTCAACTATTCTGTGTTGGCGTTGCAGTAAAAAAGAAAGAAAAAGAAGCTATGTCAGTACTGTGTGTCAACTAGACCTCTGTCTCAATTAACAATCTATCATCAACATGTCTGCCTGTTGGTCTGTGTGCCAATCTACCTGTTTGTCTGCCTGCCTGTCTGTCTGTCTGATTGTCTATCTCTGTCTGCCTGCCTGCCCGTCTGTCTGATTGGCTATCTCTGTCTGCCTGCCCGTCTGTCTGTGTCTACTTGTCTGCCTGTCCGACCGTCTGTCTTCCTGCCGTCTGTCTGTCTGTCTGTCTGTCTGCTAGAGTGGATCTGGCCATTTGTCTCTGAATTGCCTCGTTTATCCCACAGCTCTTTTAATATGCACTGTGTGTCTTGTCATGACGGGCAGGGACACCAGAGAGACATCATTATACCGGTAGCTACACAACATAACAGGCAGTATGTACAGTATGATTGCTCTTCTGTAAATATTGATCACTGCTTGGGGTGAGATGATCGGACGATGACATGATTTCATTATCATAGATTTTTCCGCACACACACACATACACAAGCACGCACATATGCGCAGTGCAGGTTGACGTTTATTGACATGAGTCTTGTCCTGGAGGCAGAACTGAGCGATTTCCACTAGATGGGCCAGCTGCAAAGTCAAAATTGGCTATATTGTAAAAATGTATGAAAACAAAAATGAGCTTTTTGGTCTTAATTTAATGTTAGGGTTAGGCATTAGGGTTAGCAGTGTGTTTAAGGTTAGGGTTAGGCATTAGGGTTAGCAGTGTGTTTAAGGTTAGGGTTAGGCATTAGGGTTAGCAGTGTGTTTAAGGTTAAGGTTAGGGCGTTGTGCCAGTAACCGAAAGGTCGCTGGTTCTAATCCCCGAGCCGACTAGGTGAAAAATCTGTCGATGTGCCCTTAAGCAAGGCACTTAACCCTAATTGCTCCTGTAAGTCGCTCTGGATAAGAGCGTCTGCTAAATGACTAAAATGTAAAAATGTAATGTAAATGTTTAAAGTCAGATTTTATGACTTTGTGGCTGTGCTAGCTAGTGACCACTTTGGAGGGCTGCCTCCAGAACAAGAAAAACGCTAACCTGCATATGCAGTACACACACTCTCTCTCCTATCTCCCTCCCATGTTCATTCCCTCAGACAGTCAATTCCAGCAGCACCTCATTAGCTGTGACTTTTGACAGTGGCTCTCGGTATCGGACCATGTCTGGATCGCCAGTGAGGGGGAGTTGAGAGTCTAGTCAGTGTGTCAGTATTACTCATAGCTGGGGGCCTATATCTATGAGG